ACCAGTAGCACAGACACTGAGATCAACAATTAATAAATGGGACCTCCTGAAACTGAGAAGCTTCTGTAAGGCAAAGGAGACAGTCAGCAAGACAAAACGACAGCCCACAGACTGGGAAAAGATATTTACCAACCCCACATCTGACAGAGGGCTGATCTCCAAAATATATAAAGAACTCAAGAAGCTATTCTCCAAAACACCAAACAATCCAATTAAAAAATGGGGTACAGAACTAAATAGACAATTCTCAACAGAGGAATCTAAAATGGCTGAAAGACACACAAGAATGTGTTCAACATCCTTAGCCATCAGGGAAATGCAAATCAAAACAACTCTGAGATACCATCTTACTCCTGTCAGAATGGCTAAAATCAAAAACACCAATGACAGTTTATGCTGGAGAGGATGTGGAGAAAGAGGAACACTCCACTGCTGGTGGGAGTGCCAACTTGTACAGCCACTTTGGAAATCAGTATGGTGATTCCTCAAGAAAATGAGAATGAGTCTACCACAAGATCCAGCAATTCCACTCCTAGGCATATACCCAAAAGATGCACATTCATAAACAAGGACATCTGTTCAGCTATGTTCATAGCAACATTATTTGTAATAGCCAGAATCTGGAAGCAACCTAGATGCCCCTCAACTGAAGAGTGGATAAAGAAAATGTGGTACATTTACACAATGGAGTACTACTCAGTGGGAAAAAAAAAACAATGGAATTTTGAAATTCACAGACGATGGGACTAGAAGAAACTATTCTGAGTGAGGTAACCCAGTCACAAAAAGACAAACATGGCATGTACTCACTCATATATGGATATTAGACATAGAGCAAAGGATTACCAGCCTACAGTCCATATCGCCAAAGAAGCTAGGAAACAAGGAGGACTCTAAGAGAGACATGCATGGTCCCCGGAGAAGGGGAAAAGGACAAGATGATCTGAGCAAATTGGGAGCATGAGGGGAGGGGAAAGGTAGTTAGGAAAAAGAGAAGGGGAGACCTGAGGGAGCAGGAAGGTTAAGTCTGGGGAAGAATAGAGGAGATAAAGAAAAGAGACACAACAATAGATAACGTCATTATAGGTTTAAAGAGAAATCTGCCACTAAGGAAATGTTCAGAGATCTACAAGGATGACCCCAACTAACAATCTGAGCAATATTGGAGAGGCTAAACTAAATGCCCTTCTCCGATAATGAGATTGATAACTACCTTATATGCCATCCTAGAGCCTTCATCCTGTAGCTCATAGAAACAGAAGCAGACACCCACAGCTAAACACTGAGCAGAACTCTGGAATCCAGTTGCAGAGAGGGAGGAGTGATAAGCAAATGGGTTGAGACCTGGCTGGAGAAGCCCACAGAAACAGCTGACCTGAACAAAGGGGAGCTCATGGGCCCCAGACTGATAGCTGGGACTGTTCCAGAGTCCCTGAACTTGGGTGTCAGTTAGGAGGCCTCAGAAATCTATGGGGCTTCTAGTAGTGGATCAGTATTTATCCCTAGTACACAAACTGACTTTGGGAGCCCACTCCATGTAGAGGGACACTCTCTCAGTCTAGACATGGGGGAGGGGCTAGGCCCTACTCCAAATGATATGACAGTCTTTGAAGATTCTCCCATGGAAGGCCTCACCCTCCCTGGGGAGCAGAAAGGCCATATGGGGCTGGTGAGGGAGCAGGGGAGGAGAAGAGGGAGAGGGAACTGTTATTGACATGGAAAGCAGGCTTGTTTCTAATTTAAATCTTTAAAAAGGGGAAAAATGAGCAACCACACAGGTGGAGCAGTATATAGGGCACCCTTGGCAAATACTTGTCTGTCACTTTCAGTAGAGGTTCAGTCTGTAGAGGTCGTCACAGTTTAACTAATCATGGTCACTCTTGTTTGAATAGTAGCCAAATCTTAAGGTAAAGACACCCCAAAGGATCTGATAGGCAGCAAATGCTACTTCCCTTTGGTGTAATATGCTGGGAAGAAATTCTAACCTGGGACTCAGGCTCACAGTGAAGCAGAGCCAATAGACTCAGCATCCTCAAGCCCCCAGATCGCTTGGATCCTGCTCTTTGTTTCTCTTTAACACCGGACCAACAGACACCAGAAACTAACTGCAAAACGGGGTTAGGATGCTGACAGGGAAGCCTCAGCTCTGCAGGACAGCTTATGGCTGCTGCTGACCTGGGATGGGGCCAGCTCTGGCAGCTTGCCAGTTGGGTGAGGCCAGGGTTGTGATTTACAACTTCATGGTTGGCAGGGCTGCACTGTGATCCTTCAAATCTGTCTCCAAAATGCAACTCAAGGTTGTCTGGAGACAGATGTCAGATGCCACCACAGACATTGACCTGCCCTAAGGCAGCAGCTCTCAGCTGACAGTTGGTTAAACCCACTGATCTCAGGCCCCGCTCTTGACAGGCCTTCTGTCTGAGAAAGTATCCAAGTATTTCGTCTTCACATGATGCTAAGTTAAGTGCCTCCCTCCTTTCCCAGGACCTTAGAGACAGCCATGTGTGTTCCACCTGCCTGTCCTCTAGCTCCTGCGTCCTTCCTCTCAGTCCAGCTTCTCCATTCTTCCTCCATTTGCTGACTCCCCATGAGGTCTGTCTTAGGTTCACCCCTCATGTCAGCAGTATGCCACCAGGCCTTGTTAACTCCTGCCTTTAAAAGCCCCCACTTCTCGCCATCATATCAGGATGTAGAAGGATGTGCTGGCATTCTCCCCTGTTTTCCTCCCCTTCGGTCTTTTGCCAGCCTTCCAGTGTCAAATGCCTGACTAGTATACCTGCATCCACTTGTGCCCACTCTGCAGTGGCTAAAATGCAGGCTTTGTATAAATGCAAGCCAGTTCATGTCAGTGGAGTGACTGCTTCCTTGCTTGGTCCCTCCATCTGGCTCCAGCCTCCATCTACCCACTGCCAACTGCATTTGTCTCTTCTACCTGCCTTGGTCAGCTCTGCATCACCATAGTGGAATACCCTAGATAATTATAAAGGGAATATTTATTTTTGGCTCATAGTTTGGGGGAAAGAGTTCAGCCATGATTGGTTAGCTAGGATGCTTTGGGCCTATGACAAGGCAGCACATCATAGTAGAGGACATGGTGAAGAGAAAACTCCATGGACCATGAAGTAAAGAAAAGAGGAAGGACCAGAGTCCCCAAATCCCCTTCAATGGTACACCTATAGGTAGATGCTGGGAACCAAATCCTGCTCTTCTGGAAGAGCACTATGTGATCCTAACCAATGAGCCTTCTCTTCAGCCCCAAAACCAAATTTTAAAACATGTCTGAAGAAACATGTGGTCAGAATCCTAATTTGTTAACCAGTTCTTAACTTCATAATGACTCATCCCTGCTTGACTTGGTGATGTTTTCAGCAATAGCCTCTGCTCACTCTTTATAGAGCACTTCAGCAGATTAAAACCAAAACTCATTCCCCATATGCTCATGTTCACAATTCATTGTTTGACTTAAATATTAAGTGAGGTTATTCTAGTCTGAGTATGGCTTTCCACTTTAGGCATGGAAGTGTTTGCATAAACATAACCTATTGGGAAAGGAAGAAAAGGATGGGAGGTTCCAGGACAAAGTACCCACCATGGAGGAGCCTCAGGTGCTCAGCACTTCACACTCAGAAGTCAGATGTCTAGATGGGTGGAGAGTGCATTACACAGGCGGAAGTAGGGCCCTCAGAGCTGTCTATCAAGTTTTTCATAAAGGTTGTACTGCCTAGATCCGTTCTGCCAGCAGATGGCAGGCTTGACTTTCGAACTATCTTCCTGTTGGGCTGGCAGGCAGCTGGCCTTTGCTGTCATTAGAATGCCTTTCTTACTGAGACTCTGGTCTTGGAAGCTCTTTTGATGAGCTGGTGGCATTTTTTCCCTTCAGATGAACACAGCACAAGTCTACGACTGTGGTGAGGGAACACAATGGGATCGTGGGAATGCACTGGTGGTCCCACCTAACTTCTCCCAGATTATTTCCCCTCCTTTGGAGGCAATAAGAACCAATCTCTATATTGTCATGTGGGAGGAACTGAGGAATCAAAATCACTTTAGCCTTTCCTCTCTGAATACAGGGGAGGCTGATGTTTTACCTGTGGAGCAAGGAATACAGGCGGGCTGCAGCAGCATGCCATAGCATAGACCAACATCTCCACTGGCCCCTTGGTACTCCCAGGGACACTGACCCTGACCTCTGATGCTAGGAGGGTCCTTGGCAGGCATCCTAGTTGTAGAGATCTCCAGATCTCCAGCTTCCGAAGGACAGTAAGAGGTCAGATGCCAGTCTGTCCTACAGCTAGGGGTAGGGGTGGGAGCATATGGCCTTGTATTAGTAGCCAGTGCTACCTGGGAGCACTGCGACCCTGGCTATTCTACTGACCAGGTGTTGTTAGACATGATACCTGAGACCAGACAGGTAGACAGGACTTAATGACCTTTCCACATGGCAATCAGAAACTGGTCTACCTTGATGACCTCTTTAACCCCCCCCCCCAATCACGCCATTCCCCACATACACCCCAGTCACCATAGGTTACTACTTAAGGAGGAAACGAGGCCACACATGTGATGGCACCAAACAGAAGCAGTGGCAACACTTCTATGTGTAAGGCCAGTCTTCTCCCAGCCAAGCCTGTGTGATGATCATTTTTTATTGTCTGCTTGACTGGATGTAGAAACAGAGGAGAGAGACATCTGGGCATTTCTAGAATGTTTCCATGGGCCAGTGGATATGTGGCCAGCTGTCTCTCAGGATCCCATTGCTCTAGCTAGAGTTGCTCTCATGCCACACCAGCTGTAAATACTTTCTGCATTTTGTTGCAGCTACCATAATATGTCTGAGCTGCCTGGAATGGGATAGGGGGACACTTAAGGTGTGAGGATGTCTAGAGTAGGAAGACATGGAAATTACACAGCCTCTCTCACTCCCAGATCTGGAAGGTGGGTCAGGCCTGCTATAAAGTGGGAGACATCCAGAGGACCCGCCAGCTCTGCTCTCCTGCAGGCCCAGCCTGCCTCCAGAGCAGAGCTGAGGTCCTGCAGAGGAAAGCAGGCTACACAGGGCAGCCCAGAGGGCTTGTGGGGCAAGAAGTATCCAGAGGCTCTGAGGTGGGAGAGTTGAGGGAACCATAGTGCTGGGACCCTCAGGAGACACTCAACCTTTCAAGAAATGTCTCACTTGGTAAACTCCACTTGGCACAGACATGAAGAATTAGGCTGGTGAGAGGCGCTATGCTTTCAGAGCACATTTAATAACGAGTAAAGTTCTTGGTGGTGGCCCTGCTCTTAGGTGCCATCCTTTTGAGTGGCCACTGGGGACTTTTCCTGGATAAGAGGCTACTGCTGATCTTGGCACTGTCCCTTCTGACACCTGCTGGGACCCATAGGTTTGGAGAAGCATCCAGATCCTGCCTGGACTATGTGGGATCCTGATAGTCCTTGTGGGGCTGTCAGGCTCTTTCTATGTGGCGCTTGGGGGCAGATGGCCCTGCTGGTAGCCTGGCCCAAACTTGAAGCTTCTGGCTTCCTCTGCAGCCTGTGGCCAGCCCTGCAGGGAGAGTGAGCAGACATATTCAGGCATGTACTTTTGCTCCTTTCACTCTGGGGCTCTGGCCCCTTTGGTCCCAACAGTCAAGCTTCCCAGAGTGGCAAAGAACTCCTCCATCTCCCTCTGCAGCAGCTGGTTCCTGCGCTCTGCGTCCTCACGTGCCCGCTCTGAGTTCCGCAGCTTTATCTCCAGCATGGCGTACTTCTTCCTCTCCTGGTCCAGCTCCTCTTCCAGCCGAGACATCTGCTTTCGCAAGTCAGCACTGCCCTCCTCAATGCTTAAAAATCAAGAAGAGGGAGTTTCAGACTCCACTGACCCAGAGCACTGTCACAGCAGGAATAGCCCTGGGTCTCACTAAGGCAGGAAGGTGGACAGGGGTCTTCAGGGAGGGATCTCTCAGCCTTGCCTACTCCTGCAAGCCAGTGGGGGCTCCCTACAGAGAGGCTGTTTTGGGTTTGTGACCTGGAAAGGCCACCCTAAGGATTCCTGCCTTTGTACTTGGACTAACAATATCCCTGAGCCCTCACCAGAAACAGCCTTTTGTCTCTCCAGTCCTGTCAACTGTCCTAGTGAGGGTCACCTGTCACTAGAAAGAGGAGCAGAGGTCCCCTCACCTTTCTTCCTATGCTCTTACCCACACCTCCTGCTGCTGTCTATGTAGTGCTCTGGAGGAACATAAATCCAGAGGAAATTCTTGTCTGCCCTACATGTCCTCCTTGGGGTCACCTCCCATGCCCACCCTGCAAATCTAGCATTATCAGAACTTACACAACATCTGAGCTCCATGGCATTGATGACACTGAGGTTAGCATCCTCTGAAATGCAGAGGTGCCCCCCCCCACACACACACACATACTCCCCAAAGCACTATAGTCCCCACACAGGGACAATATGCATGCAGCAAAGCACCAGCCAACAGTGTGTCTGTGGACTGGGTACCAGCCTCCCTCCATCCCAGACACTGAGCACAATGCTTACAGAAAGGTGAGCTTCTGCCACCATAGCAATGGGCATGCTATCAGAGAGGGGGCTTCGTGGAGGATGGCACTGAGGTCTCACTTGCTTCTCATCTGTCCCCAGCCCTTCTTTGCTATTCTCTCCTTGCTTGGGCCTTCCCTCCCTGTTTATGCTATGCTAGAGTGACCTTGTCAAGCTCTTGATGCTTACTTATAGCCCTCCTATTAAGCACCTGGCCTGTTCATGAGTCTAACACAGAGCTCCTGACATGGAGCCATGCCCCATCCCATCTAGTTCTCCTGCCCAAGGAGCACCTGCTTATAGCTCCTCCCTTCAACTCTAAAACCTTCATGCCAGATGAGCTCTTCCCACCCATCAGTGAGCAAGGCCCATCCAATCCATCTTCAGAACAAGTGCCAAATATTCCTGTTTCTCCCTGTCACCCCCATGAGTCTAGAGTCCTATGGCCTCCTAATTGGTTCCTACTGGACCTCCAGTGAGCTCTCATATCAGAGGAGCCAAAGTCCTTGACACGGTCCCTCAGCTTCTTCACACTCACTGTCCTCTAAATAAGACCAAGCATCACCCAGGTTAAAGGCCCCTGCCCTACTACCCTGCTCAAGGTGAGGTCCCCTAACCCTAAGCCTTCCTACCCTCTCTGGAGGTCTCCTCCCCTCCCCAGTTTTATTGTCCTTTATCCACTTTTTAGCATGTCATGTATTTCTGATGAATTTTGTGCATGGTCTCATCTTGATACCCCCAAATATGAGTGAGGCAGGGAATTCTGATGAGTTCGGGGCATAGCTGTGTTCCCAGCATCCAGAGCAGTATCTGTATTTCACAGACAAAAGATTCTCTTAGGGAAATACAAGAATGGCAGAGACTGGATTGCAGGAGGCAGAATGGGGCTCTATGTATGCCAATAGAAGCATATTCCCAAAAGTTTGCTGGACAGGACACAGGTCTTCCTGTGCTGGAGACCATCCTCATTATAAATTCCTTCCAAGCAGCCCAAACCACTCTGTCCGAGCATTACAAGGGCCTCCAATGTTCCCGCCCTTGCCGCGCCCCCCCCCATTCTTCCTAGAGAGGGGTCTATGTAGGAAAGGAACAGAAACATCAAGGTTTGCTACAGGCACCAGGAGTAGGCTGGTTTGTACATTGGGCAGCCCTCTCTTCGGCCACTCCCAGTGATTCAAGGCTCTGTTCTCACCCACTGCATCCTGGAGAGCCACCTGGCTCCTGACTCCTGTTCTACAGACCAACTGACATTCCCCCCTGTCCCAATGCCTTCGGTAGGCATTTGTGGAGGCCTGCTGGCTGACCCACTCCCAACCCTGAACATGCCAGGGTCATTTTCCAAGAAAGACAGCCTGGAAACTGGCTGTTCCAAGCCCTGCCCCTTGCAGCTTTCTCGGTAGCCAGCATAAGCTTAGCCCTTACCTTTTCAGGCTCCTCTCATACTCAGTCCTCTGTTGACACAGCTCTGCCCTGAGCTCAGCCACTTGGCCCTGGAGAGCTCGGCAGCGGTGGACATGAGCCAGTGTGGGGCTGCCTGGGTCATTGGGCTCACTGCTGCCACTGCCCACACATGCCTCATCCAGGCTGTGGCCCAGGTCTGGTGACCTGTGGTCCTCACTGCTACTGGGGAGGGGAGAGGGCTCAAGAGCCCACTCGGTGTGTAAGGAGCTACAGGCAGAAGAGTCGCTGGCCCGGCAGGCTGTGCAGCTGCTAACAGAGGCCTCTTGGGATGATGAGGCTATAGACCATGACATGCTGGCCATGCTGGCAGTGCTAGGAAAGTGGCTGGATGGGGGCACGTTGTCATAGGTGGAGAGTCTCTGTACTGAGCCTGTATCCTTCAGACGGTCCCCTGATGAGGCCCGACGGTGGCCACGCAGAGAGGATAGTCCATTTATGAGCCAGTTCCCACCAGAGATGATGGGTACCTCTAAGGATGAACTGCCCCCCTTTGGGCTCTCTGACCGGGACCCCTGCCGGAAGGAGGACTTCCAGCCAGGCAGAGTATGCATCCTCTTCCCAGGGCTGGTGGCTGCAGGGCCAGTCTGGCTGCCAAGGTGTTGGGGAGAAGTTCTAGAGAGTACTGCTGCAGCTGGCCCATCCAGAGATGAGGTCCTGTGTGTGGGCAAGCCAGAGCTGCCAGGCTCACCCTGGTGGTCACTGGGAACCTCTTCGGAGCCCCACTCTGCTGTGCCCTGGACAGTTCTAGGTGGGGAAGCAGGTTCTTCAAGGGAAGCTGAGGCAAAGAGCTGTCCATGTTTGCGGATGAGGACAGTCATCAGATGCTGAACCAAGGAAGTGCCTGTGTGAGAGAGAGACAAAATGTTGGCAGTGAGAGGCCCAGCCCACGCCTCTAACACACACATAGTCAGCTACAGCTCCATCATAGGATGCCTGTTCCTGCAGGGCACCTTCACCTGTGTCTGAAAGAGGACTGTCACAGCAGCCAGAACCAGGCACAGACAGGACTATGCCCACAAATCCCCTGAGCATGAAGGAAGCATAGTTCTACCTGTCTAGGAGAGGTAGGTGCCATGGAGACAGGGAGTTCATGAAGGCCACAAATGATGGGTAGCAGGATAGAACTGGAAACAGAACCTAGTAGGTCATAGCACATCAACAACCAGCCTCTCCTACGCTATTACTGCTACTGGCTCTGCCTTAATTAAGGCCCTCTGAGGACACGGGGCTCTGGAACAAGGCAGGCACACACACACACACACACCCCACACACACCTGTATACATCCTTTTAAAAAATTACTTATTTGGGGACTGGAAAGATGGTTTGGCAGTTAACAGCACTTTTTGTTCTTGCAGAGGACCTGGGTTCAACTCCCAGAACCTAGAGGGTGGCTCACAACCATCCATAACTCAGTTCCTAGGGATCCAATGTCTTCTTCTGATCTCAGCAGGCACCAGGCATGCACATGGTGCACAGACACACATGCAGACAAAACACTGATACACATAAAAAGGAAATAAATAAATCTTTTAAAAAGTACTTATTTTGTGTGTGTGTGTGTATTTTGCTTGCATGTGTTTATGTGCACCACATGTGTGCCTAGTTCCTGTGGAGGTTAGAAGAGAATGTCAGATGCCCTTGAACCAGAGTTACAAGCTGTCATGAGCTGCCATGTGGGTGCTGGCAACCAAACCTGGGTCATCTACAATGGCAGCAAATGTACTTAACCAAAGAGCCATGGCTCTAGCCCCTATAAAGTCTTCTTAATGTGTGTGGAGATATGTATACATTTAAGTGCATATATGCACAGTGCTGACCACCCAACCTCTCTATCATGCCTGAGATGCAGGGCTCCAAATCCTGGAGCTTGGCTCCCATGGTAATGGTATGGGGCTCAGCAGTTAAGGATAGGGTCCAAAGGTCAACAGTGTCTACTCTACAGCCATGCTCCCTCCAACCACCCACAACCAAATACCAGAGCTGGGAGGTTCACTAAGGATGAGAGAGACAATGGTCTGCAAGGACTCCCCATGGAAAACTAGTGATCCAGGAGAAATCATAGAAGGTACTTCTCAGCCACAAGTACCTGTGGGACTGCTGCTGGCATCCAAGTTGGGGCCCATGTCTTCAGGCCTAAATCAGGACTTCAGAAGTGTCCCCAACAACTAGATGTGAACATCCTGGGTAGCAATGTTCTTACACTGGCTCTGTTGGGGACAGTCTTCCCAAAGGCTTGTGTATTCAGAATATTGTTCCCACACTGGCCTCCCTACGTGGGCCCTATGCAAGTTTGGCTCACAGGCCCCTGTTGAGTCATGTCACCTCACCTGGCCTACATTTCATCATTTGGGACCTAAGGGCAATTATCACAATAGGCCATGTGAGGACTGCAACTGAACTGTACAGGTGAATTGCAAAGTGCAGGCTACTTAGGCTTTTGTTGTCTGGGCTGGCCTCAAATTCCTGAACTTAAGTGATTCTCCCACCTTAGCCTCCCATGTTGCTTTTTTAAAGCATCATTTTATTATTACTTATCACAAAAGAAAAATTCCCTGGTGCTTGCACAGGTCTATCCTTCAGGAACCTAAGACAATCACTTCACTATGACAGTAAACATCTGTGTGGGATCAAGGACAAGGACTCCTGCTTCCCAGCTGCTCTATCCTCTCTAATCACTGGTCCTTTTAATTGTTCCTGATAACTAGCTGCTACCAGCCACAAGGAGACGGATGGAGGGAAGTAGGCTATGTCCCTGAAGATGGAGACAGGACAACTATTGAGCTGTGCTGGTTCTAAGGATGCACTGGTGACACGAGCCCAAATTCACCCAGCTTTGGACTCTACCAAGGCACCTCCCTCTTACCTTCCATGATGGTCACTGGATCCTCTATCTGTGGCCGAAGGATGTTAGGGCCAAAGACTGTTGCCAAGTTCTGGACACTCATCTTGTTGACATTTGAATGGGCCTGCACTTCATCCAGAAACCTGCAAAAGAGAAAAGGAGCAATTGGTGAGGCAGCAAATTCTGAACTCCAATCTACTGTGAACTCTAAGCCCTGCCTGGCCACACCCACCGTGCTACACCCTACCAAGCCCACGACACACCTACTTCACCTAGTCCACACTACACCACCTAGCCACCCACCACACTAACACTCCTAGCCACACCCCTCAGATATACCCGCCACACTACATGCTCTTCCACATGCCCCATCAACCCACCATACACACCTTGCACACCTATGCTTCCATGAACCCCCATCTGTCTCAGCTATGAATAGCCAAAGCCCACCCATACCACACAAAACCCACCCCATCCATACCCAGTCAGCTATAGTATACCTAACCACCCACTACACTCTCATGCTGCCTCCAATACCCAATCATATCCCATAACCACCCAACCCACACCTTCATACTATTCATGCCCTCTAGCCACACCCTTTGCCCCCAGCCCCACCACATGGCTCCATCTTTGTCCCCTCAGGCCCCATTCCATCCCCACACTCAGCCAGGCCTCCCAGGCTCTCCATGGCTGCAGGGTACAGTCAGTTGCACCTGTATGTGATCAACGAAAAATGTTCCTGAGATCTAAGAATATCATGAAAAACAAAGACCCAGAGACAAGATATGGTCATCCTTGGTGTAGAAGGCAAATGCCCCAGAAGCTCAGACCCCACCTGGCACTGAGTGTCATCCTTGCAGGCCCCTACCAGCACCCAGAATGTGGATACATGAGGGTATATACCTCACCTTTTTAGGGGTGTACACCTGCAGGGAAGGGAAGTGAGATGTAGGGAGACACCCTAGCCCCGCCCTGGGACAGGTACCAGGTGGACCCGGGACTCGCCCATAAGGGCGTGGTGTAGGAAAGCCAAGGTGACATAAGGGAGGCTTCTTAAAGACGGCTCGTGGAGACCCGAGCCCCTTTTGTTCTGGCCGCGCTTGCTGGGTTCCTGTAACCTCGCTCTGGCCTGGTGTTTTCTTGAATAAAGAGACTTTAATCATCATCTTCAGGTGGCGCCCAAGGACCCCGAGACCTGGGAAGAGCCCACAGGGCGCCCAGGAGGGCTGGGAGCACCCCGTCCCATTTCAGCAGGAAGTAATCTAGAAGATGCTACACCCCCGTTCCCCATTATTGTTTATTGGGGTACTGTAAGCCTAATTAAGAACGACCTTCTTATTGTTTAGAGTTGGGATTGGAAGAAGGTGTTCAAGTTAGACACCTTTTCCACATGACTTTAAGACTTAGCTGAAATAGACATAGGATGGGCCATAGTTTTTTATTGTATCTTCTTGTATTTCACCTTTATGCTTGTTAGTTTTAGAATTTTTAAACTATTAAGTTTTAAACCTCTTTTAGACTAAAAGGGGCATTGTAGGGAGACACCCTAGCCCCGCCCTGGGACAGGTACCAGGTGGACCCGGGACTCGCCCATAAGGGTGTGGTGTAGGAAAGCCAAGGCGACATAAGGGAGGCTTCTTAAAGACGGCTCGTGGAGACCCGAGCCCCTTTTGTTCTGGCCGCGCTTGCTGGGTTCCTGTAACCTCGCTCTGGACTGCGTTTTGCCCTGGTGTTTTCTTAAATAAAGAGACTTTAATCATCATCTTCAGTGAGAGGTACCCAGAAGAGCAGAGGGCAGGTTCCTTCTGAAATGATTCGCCAACTGACTACCTCCTGCAGCTCTGTGTTCTTCTACAAACTCCTTGCCATCCCAGCACTTGGTGAGGCAGTGTTGAGAGGGTCAATGGACCCTCTATACAGTTTTGTCTCTCTAGAAGTGGAAGGAATGAGCACCGAGCCAGAGCAGCCCCACCCGCAACAGGCTGCTTACCTGCAGATGTATCTGAGCAGGTTGTAGTTGGCCTGAGGAAGATTGCTCACTTGTTTAGCCAACTCCAGAGTCCCCTTGTGAAGGAAAGAGAACACAGAGTTTCAAACACCAGTAGTGAGGCCTCCTCTGACTGGAGGAGGGCAGGACAGGAGGAGGGAGGGATGTGTGGCCAGTCCCAGCTGACCTCCTCAGTCCCTCCAAAGTGTGGCTGTGACCTCTTGAGGAGACTGATTCATTTCTGGGAGCTGGAGTGAGGGGTGAGCCTCTGCAAGGACACAGAGGAATGTCTCAGCTCACTTATCAGGGCACAAATATTTGCTAGATAACAACGCTCACCCCCACACAGTCACAAAGAAGGCAAACAGTCTTTAGCTGCAGCAGCTCAGAGCTGCAGACAGCTCCAACAAGGCTAGGAGGACAGAGGGTGGAGGGGAGGGGGCCCACAGCTGTCCTGGGAGCTGTCTCAGAAAACAGGTAACAGGACTCCTCTGTCTCAACAGTGGGAGACAAAGGTGAAACAGAAGCACCCACTGTGAGGTGGCCAGAACTGGGTACCCTGTGTTAAGAGGGATCCACATTCTACCCCCACCCCCTCTTCTACTTCTGTGATAAATACCAAGAAAATTCGAGTCCTACACAGACTGCACAACACTTGGGGGCCCACCTTCCCCCCCCACAGCAGTCTTCCAGCCTTCCGGCCAGGACCTATGTGCCACAAGCCTACTGCCCCCCCATCCCACCCCCAGGATGTGTCCCGGGAGGCACTGACCTCCCCCTCGTCCTTGGTGAGCAGCTGGGCGCAGCTGAGGAAGTCCTCATACCTGGCGAAAGGGATGACTGGCTCTGGGAGCTCCCGAAGGTAGAGCTTCAGCAGGGAGGCCACTGTGTGCACATCTGTGGTGCTGGGATGAAAGGGGGTGAGGTGGACATGAGTGAGAACAAAACCTCCCGAAGTTGTAGAATTAACACATACACTATACCTCACATGAGACTGGGACAGTTCCTAGTCTCAGGTTGACTTGTGTGCATACAGCCAGGCTCCTCTGGAGCCAGCTGCTCCTGGTCAAGGTCAGACCCAGGCTGGCTGCAAGCACAGGAGGCAGGGCCTCTGCGGGGAGGGTGACAGAAATCAGAAGCTCCAGCTTGGATCTACTCATCAGCCCCACACCACTGGCTCAGAATCTTGTCTAGTGTCTAAGTGGTGGGGTGAACTCTCTTTCATGTTCACTGTGGGACTTGGGAGATGTTCTGCTGCAGAAGCCACGGGGCATGGCTGTTTCACTCACAACAGTTGCTCAGGGTGGAAGAAATCACCTGTGGCCTGCATCAGCTCACAGGAAGCTCTCGTGGGGTACAACCAAGCCTTTGCTTGAGCTTGCTTAGTTCCTGGGATGAACCTTGGCTGAACTGGGAAATCTGTATCAGAGGGAGCCTACCAGGACTGACCTTCCTGCAGAGAGCAGGCATCTGAACCCTGGCTAGACAGCTGAGAGGTCAGGTCCTTGCCTCTGGTCTCAGCTCCTCACTTCATCGCTAGGGCCTTGAATGTCCACAACAGGACTTAGTCTCCACTACAGACTCAGATGCCTAGGCAGAAGTGTGTGTGTGTGTGTGTGTGTGTGTGTGTGTGTGTGTGTGTGCTCGGGAGTGGGGGGATGGGGCTGGGGAGTGGGTTCAAGGGTATTCCTAGGTCAGGCTCACACTCTCTCTTCCTATCTACCTGGGTGCTGTGGGGCAGTTCTGACCACAGCTGGCTCCTCTTCCAAGTGGGTCCCAGGAGACTTAACTAACCTTCCTGTCTGCATTCCTGCTTAAAATCCCCTCCCACATCAGCCATTGCCCACAGAGAAAGACCTGCTGCTCAGCTGTACCCCATGCCCACTGCCCCTCATACTCCAGCACTCTGCAGCCTTCCATCCCCACTCACTGCTCATCTTTTCTTTAACACTTGGCTCCAGTGTCCCTGATTTCTTTCCCACACCACTGTGAATCCATTGTGCCCCCATCACATTCCCACCAGCCCCAAGGAGAGCATTCCAGGCCAATGCCTGGACCCATCAGCCTGGTGGTCTCACAGTGCATGCTACATGCAGCTGGTGGGCTGAGGCAAGGCTACAGAAGATCCACCTGCACCTTCCCATCCTGTCTTCATTCCCAAAGTCACTCTCTTGCCCATGCCAACAACACCATCCATCCAGAATGAAGGCCTTGCCTTGCCTCTTGTCTCCAGTCCTGATAACCTCACCTGGTCTCTTCTCTCTCTCTCTCTCTCTCTCTCTCTCTCTCTCCCTTCTTCCCTCTCCTCCCCCCATTGACTCACAAGTTCTTATCTGCACCCCCACCCTCAACTGGCTTCCTAATCTATTCTCTCTCTGTGTGTCTCTCCCCCTCCCCCCCACACACACACACACACACACACACACACACACACCTGGGGCTGAGAGAATGTTCCTATGGAGAAAGAGTAAGCAGGTGAAAAGGAGTTGTGGTAGAGGAAGACAAAGTCCAGAAGCAATGACTATAGGGGCAGCCAGGAGCCACAGCCTGGAAGAGAGCCCTTGCCATGCTGCCAACCTGAGCTGTAGGTCTGTGGAGCCGAACTCTGGAATAGGAACCAAACTGAGGCCAGCTGGCACCATCATTAAAACAGGAGGCATGACAAGACGATGACATTGGAGGGTGACTTAGGCCAGAAGGCTTGGTACCTTGCCAGGAGAGCCCAGTGAGTTTGAATATAGTAGTGTGAGGTCTGACATCCTTCCAGTGTCATCCGACATGACAGCAGTGTGTCTGACCCTGGGACATTTCTAAAAGCCATTGTTCCCAGTTTCTACCAAGGCAGCCTTTGTTTGAAGCAGTTTCTAACCTTGATACCTACAGGAGAGATGAGGGCTGTCTGGCTGGCCGAGCTGTAGAGGAAACCCCAAGCTGTGGACAGGGCCTCACAAGGCTCCAGGAAAAGAGACTTCAATGCTCAGTAGTTAGTTCTGCATGCCACAGCTAAGGAAAGAAGTGGCAAGGCTCTGTCTATGGCCATGGGTATGGGAAGAAGCTGGACAGATGTGTGTCACATTCTGTAAGATCAGGGAAGCCCAGGGCTGTGAGCACTACAGGCTTGTCCTGTGGCGGACTGAGCCTCTGTCTGAGGGGAGAAGTCAGAGAGGGCAGCTTTACTGATATCTGGTTTGGTTTGCTGTCTGATATAAGAACTCTATACAAAACTGGTCTGTAATGAGTGAGCAGAGAAAAGGGAGCCCATACAACACAAGAGAGAGGCAAGCCTCACTCCCTGACTCTCAGGCCCTGGGCAGTGGATGTAGTTGTCTTCTCCCAGCCGTGGGAAAGCCTCAGTGATGAGTACAGACCCAAGGAGGGCAGAAGCAACTGTCTTCCTGTCCCAAAACCTGACTGAGATTGGAACTCAGATGCTATGCCATCAAACCATTATGGAAGTGTGCGTTGGGTCATTAAGAGGAGGCTTATTGCAGTAAGCCTGGAATCCTAGATGCAGCTGTGCCTAAGCCATGCTGCCCTAGCAACTACCTGACGCCTTTCCCCCCTCTACCTGGGTCAGGGAAGAGCTGTGGAAACTACCACATGGCTGACCTTGTTTGTGCCAGACAACCTCAAGGAGACGGGGAACCAGCACGATTCTGTGCCCTGGTATTTCCCGCTTTGCGCAGACTGGCTAAACGTGCATGAGTCAAATGGGCAGCCAACATGCAGGCCCTGCTCAGAAAAGCTGGTGTCAAGGAGGCAACTATAGGAGGCTCAGCAACTTGTTCCACCTCTGTTGCCTGTGGTGGTATCTCCTTTGTACAAATAAAGCCTGTCTGAAGGTCAGAGAATGGAGCTTGCCACTAGCTAACCACAGAGGTCTGGAGGTCTATATAGGCTGACAGGAAGTGAGGTAGTTGGGTGGAAACAGGATATAAGCTGGGAGAAACAGGAACTCACTCTCTTGTCTGCTGAGACACTAAGGAGCTAAGATGTGGTGGCTTGCTCCTTTTTGATCTCTCAGCATTTCCCTCTATATCTGACTCTGGCTTTTTACTATCTAGACCAATTAAGAACTCCATTTGTAATTGCCCTGTCCCCGAGGGCTCACCTGTCAAACAGTGGCTTCTCACCACAGTCAAAGGAATCCTGCAGGTCCCTCACCAGGGTGGCCTGGCCAGGCATACGGAAGAGCCCTTCTTCACTGAGTCCTCGCTCCCGGATGAAGTCCACACACTGCTCCACCAGCAGAGGTGCCAGACGGGGGCCATACTTCCTCTCATGGTGCACTGTGTCCTCCAGCCGCTGCCCAAAGATCCCTGGACACAGAAATGGACTGTTATACTCCCCTGCCACTCTGCTCAATGGTGGGTGAAGGATATCTGGGACAATGGATGGCAGAGAATGCTGTGTGTGCCAAAAGAGGCTCTTCCCAAGGAAACTGATTAGATACTGGGAGGGCATACCAGGTGGCTAGTCAGGGTTTTAGGGCAGCAGTAGATGTGCAGCTAGCCTGGCCTGTGGAGCTTGCCCAAGCCAGGAAGAAAATGGCCATGAGGGAGCATGTGCTTGTATTGTGTTGATGGATTTGGAAGTCACTCCAGATGGAAAACTATGCCATCCCCAGGCACAAGAAAATGAGCAGATCCCTCATGGGTCAGTCCCCTGGGCACTGCCGAAAAAGAGAGGCAAGAGGCACAGCTCACAGGACAAGGCTGTCCACGCACTGATGTGAAAAACTTCATCCCATTCAACATCATCAAAATGATGCAATAAGCATGAGCGCTGGGGAGCTGGCTCAGCTCAGTGGGTAAAGCTCTCAACACATAAATGTCAGGACCTTAGTTCAGATCCATGTAAACCTGGACACAACAGCACACGTGTAATCGCAGTGTTCCTACATAGGAGGATCCCTGAAAACCCACTGGTCAGTTAGCCTAGCATACACAGCAGTGAACAAGAAATCCTGTCCCCCAACAGAAGAGACAACCAAAGTTGATGTCTGTCATTACATGTGTACTATCACACACACACACACACACACACACACACACACACACACCAGACAGAGAGAAGAAGAAAACACAAACACTGCCTCACATTGCTCAGATGCTACTGTCAAAAGAAGAGAAACTGGGGAGACCTGGTGCAGTGGTAGAGCTCTATGCACTGCTCGGGTAGAGCAATGAAGCACTGTGGACCACTAATGGGGACAGGAGATGGTGCCACTGGGATATACATACAGTGTGGTGGGTCTTTCAATAAATTGAGAACTGAATTACTGTACAAAAATTTCCAACTCCAGTCAGACACGGAAAAAGAACTGAAAGTGGGGTGTGAACCCTGTGTGTGCACACACGCACAGCAGTTTTATAAATGGCAGCACTCAGCCATCCATCAATATGTACAATGTGCCATACCTGCACAATGTGACATGGCTCTGCCTTACAAAGCCAGGAAATCCTTACAGAAGCTACAACATAAATAACTCCAGAAGACACTGCAAAATAAGGCACCCTCAAAGGAACAAAAATTGTGTGACTGCACTTAAGAGATTCCTATACTGTCACACTGAGAGACAGGAAATAGAATGGTGGTTGCTAGGGGCAGAGAGGGAGGTGGATATAGCTGTTCAGTGGTCCAGCTTTCAAGATGGTGGAGGATGGTTTCACCACCAATGGAAGGTTAATGCTACTGAGCTTTAAAAGATGGGTGAAGCATTTGGGAAGGTAGGTGTACTTTATGAAAATTCTTAAGAACAAAAACCAAAATCATAATCGTAAGCAAAATAAATGAGCCCCTGAGTCCATACCATGTAACTTCATTCGTGTGAAACCACAAACAAGTCAAACTGATGGTGATTGAAGGCCAGAACTTGGCTCTTAGTGGCTTGAGGATCAGAAGCGCCTCAGGTTTCTGGGGTGCCAGCATCCTAGCTCCTAACCTGACACACTAACCCCGTCACACACACACTTAAATAAAGCAAGGCCACTGAACAAGGCCTCGGTGATTTGTACACTTTCCAATATGCCATAGCTTAAAAAAAAATTAGAAAGAAAAGAATCCAAATATCTAACCAGGACCAGACAGTATCTGTGGGTTAGAAGGACAGAGGAAGGCAGTGGAATTTCTGGCTAACACTGATAATTTGATACACAACAAGAATAAGAGTTTCCTGGTAGCTCAGGCAAGGATATTAAGTAGCCAAGACCTATAAATATCTCTGCCTGATGGATGGGTAAGCAGCCGGAGAAACTCTCACAGCCTTAAGCTCTATGTCAGTGGTTCTCAACATTCCTAACACTGTGACCCCTTTAATACAGTTCCTCATGTCATGGTGACTCCCAACCATAAAATTATTTTTTGTTGCTACTTCATAACTGTAATTTTGCTACCGTTATAAATCATAATATAAATATCTGATATGCGACCCCTGTGAAAGGGTCATTTGACCCCCAAAGGGGTCGAGACCCACAGGTTAAGAACCACTGCTCTAGGCAGGCTGGTCTTTAGACTATCTGGTGTTATTGACATCCTCACTGTGCTGACTTTCCCTGAAGGGTGGCCTTCGGAGCCTATGAGGGGCACTGGGTCAGAGCTCCACTGTGTTAAGGGCTATAGTTCTGTGGGACCTGAAACACATGAGTCAGCCCAGTTCAACCTCTTGTTTGGCAACCAACTTCACTCCCCATTCCAGGTTGCTTAGAAATAAGACATCAGTCCCTGGGCTGAGTGTGGCTCAGTAGTAAAGACATTGACCAACATGAATAAAGACACATCTGTCCCTCGAGAGCTCACAGGATGGCACTGCAAATGCTGCTCCTTACACTGCACGATCTGGAAACAAACCATGCAGAACAGGGTGGGGAAAATACCCCCTTCCCTACATCCCCTCCCTGGGAAAACCCTCAGAACACATCGGGTGGACACCATCAATTCTTAGGAAAAGGTGTTCGCCCTGTGCACATGCAGCTTGGGCTTTTGTTTGTGCATGTGAGCATGTGAACGTGTGAACATGTGAGCATGTCAGCTTGTGTGTGCCTGTGGCAGGGTCCAAGTGCAGCCCATTTGGTGTAGCTCTGGGTGCAGCAAACGCCCCAGCTCTTCTGCCACCACCACCCGCATTGGAATGGAGATGGAGACACCCAGCAGTAGGTCCCATGGACAGGGATCATCTGCCTCACAGCAGAGGAAGTGATAACTGGAGAAGAGGGAAACCTTCATCTCCTGGGGCTTGGCGGGCTAGTCCCCTGACCATGGGGAAGGCTCAGAGCCTGGAGCCCAGAGACAAGCTGGCTACTTGAGCAGCTCAAAGTAGGCCAGACTCATGAAGTCTTGAGTCACCTCTAACAGTGTCCTAGCCTTTGGGGTTAGAGCTGTTTGGTCCGAGGACAGAGAAACCCTGCTCTTTTTCTCTCACTCAGATCTCAGTCACCCACACTCAAGGCCTGGGATGCACAAGTTTACCCCCTATCGTACTGGAAATATTTTTTAAATTAGCTTTTCTCTCCTCCTCTCCTTCTTTGTTTGAGGTGCACAGCACAGGCAAGCTTTCTATCACTGAGCTGCACCCCAGCTCTTGAGTTACTCTTGAAATACCTGTGCTTATGGTGGCAACAGGCCTAAGTTTCCACAAGGCAAGAGTGGCAAAAGTGTCTCTGACAGAAACCCATTACCAATCCTCTGCAGCCCACGGTATTCCCTGCTGCCTCCTACCCCACCTGGGCTGCTTCATGCTTTGTGGCATTTACTTGCCTCTTCCACTTTAAGCTTGTGAGTACAGAGGTCGCCAAACGGCACTAGAGTCTGGGTAAGTGGGGAAGGGGTCCCGCCCACAGAGGGAAGCCATGTCTGTAGTAACCAGAAGCACCATTACTTCACACGAGCAGGCACGGAACATACAGAGGAAGAGCCCATGAACAAAGTGTCCCCGAGTGGGGCAGGGGCTAGCTTGGCATGACACCTGCCTCCTCCCCAACACTCACATGGACCCTTCACTCACTCCTCAACCTCTCCAGTGTCTGTCAGCTCACACAGCCACACCCAATGGCAGCTCTCACAGCCACACCCATGTGAAGTTGGGGTTTTTGTTTGTTTGTTTGTTTTTATTCTTAGGGAGTCTGTCACCCAGCTCCAAAATGAATACATGGAGACTTACTCTTACTTAATGAATGCCCAGCCTTAGCTTGGCTTGTTGCTAGCCCAGCTTTTCTAACTTAAATTATCCCATTTCTCTTTAACTCTTTAATGTTTCTCTTTTCCCCCATCCCCCCCCCCCCACCCCCCCCCCCCATCTATCTAGATTTCTCCTCCTATTTAATCTTTCTGCCTGGCAGCTCCACCTACCCCTCTTCTGCCTAGCTATTGGTCATTCAGCTCTTTATTAGACCAATCAGGTGTTTTAGTAGGTAAAGTAACACAGCTTCACAGAGTTAAACAAATGCAACATAAAAGAATGCAACACATCTTTGCATCACTAAACAAATGTTCCACAGCATAAATGAATGTAACACATCTTAAACTAATATTACACAATGCCCATGCATAGGCAGGGCCTTCTATTTCCATCACTTCTTCCACCGCCAGGGTCACAGCATTGTAAAGGCACTCCTTTCTACAGGGCCACTAGCAGAGGTGGAGCAATGAGAATATAGGAAGGACAAACAGTGTGGTGCTTTCACCTGTCCCAAGTCACTGCACTCAGCTCCTGGCCTCAGCTCCCAATGATTGAAGGCCAGTCAGGAAGACATAAGACATGCCAAATTCTCTCCACAGACTCGAAAATCTCAGGTGATTCCGACCAGCCTCCTTGCTCCCTGTGTCCTAGGCATCCGCCTCTCACGGTGTACTCATGCCTAGCCCTGTTCTAAGAACAGAAGGCTCCCTGTGCTCAGGGGAGGCAACCCTAGATCCCCAGCAAAACTGCAGACAACACCATCCCCTAAGTAGACCACGATCTAAGTGTATAAACTAAGGGTTCTGGTACCAGACATGTAAACTGAGACATGACTGCTCCAAGGTACGGTTAATGGGAAGATTTTTTATTGTGGATATGAGGGAGAAAACAGCCAGAGGCATCTGGAAGAGTCCGGAGCAGAGAGAAACTAGTAAACTGAACATGGCCAAGAGACTGGACCTGGCCATGAGAGGAGACAGAAGGGGAAGAGAATGAGAGGAAGATAAAGACTGCAGGCAGAGGAGACTAAGGGGGAAGGGCAAGGAGGAGAGGCCAAGAGAGGGAGACAAAAGCAAGGGCATGAATGAAATAGCAGAGTTATAAGGGAATAAGGAGCTGGGGAGGGAAACCCAAGCTGGAGAA